ATGGTTGAAGAAAAGAAAAAATGAGTTGGATGCCATAATATGAGTACCAAACATATACTAATTTCATTGAAAAGCTGCTTCTATATATGTGGTATTAAACAACAATGGTTTCATCCTACCAAATATAAAAGGTAATCATTTTTAATGTCAGTCTCTTTCCAAGCCACTAGATAATAGAAGTTTAAAGCTTCCTTTATCTAGATTTCCACTTCTAATTACGTTCCAACATCTACATTCTAGGTCGAATCATGTATTTTAAGAGCATTTTAACTCAAGTCCTCCGAAGTAAAACATTTAGAAAACTAAAAAAAGAAGATGCATAAATAACACGTGCACATAATTAGAAAGCACCGGCTTGGCCCTATAGCTCAACCAGCTAAGGAGCCAGCCACATACACCTAAGGTGGCGGGTTCGAATCCCCAGCCCGGACCCGCCAAACAACGACGGCTGCAACCAAAAAATAGCCAGGCGTTGTGGCGGGTGCCTGTGGTCCCAGCTACTTGGGAGGCGGAGGAGGCAAGAGACTCGCTTGAGCCCAGGAGTTGGAGGTTGCTGTGAGCTGTAATGCCATGGCACTCTACCCAGGGGGACAGCTTGAGGCTCTGTCTCAAAAAAAAAAAAAAAAAAAAAGAAAGCACCAAAGAACTAGAAGCATGTAATCTTTAACAATTATTGAATTTCCTGACCGTTATTTTGTCACATTGGTATCTGGACTGAATATGAAGGATGTTGTTTACTTAATAGGCAGTACTCATGAAACTGACCAATTTTGATCCAGAATAACTTGAAATCATTCTAAGGCCAGGATATAAAAATATTCTACTCGATGACACTATAAATTTTTGAGATGTTACATATAGAAATTTATAACATAGCTCATCTCTCATGAATTTAAAGCCAAACAATTCTCAACAGAAGGATTTAGTATTAAAAAGGAAACAAAGATAATAAAATTAGCTATCTAAGTGATCAGGTTAACAGCGAAACTATTTTTAAAAAGCCATGGAAAATATTTAAAGAATAAAACAAAAAGCAAAATATACTTGAGAAAAACAATGACTCTTTGAAAGTCTAGAACTGGGTAATAGGATACATAAAAGAACAGGAAAGACTAAAATCATTTCCACTTATAGTTCATATGCTATTATGCAATTAAACTATCTAAAACATATTGAATTTTGCTGATCTTTTTTAAAGGATAGTTTATCTTTAGGTATTAATATATTTCCCTAGTAATCATCCTGTGACTTAAGAGATGACATTAAATTAGGGCCTGCAAAGCAAAGGTCATACTATTAATTTTTTTGTTACGGATTTTGACTTGCCTGACAGACTGAAAACAAATATTCAATGATTCAATTATTAGCTTTGTTTCTCTGACTTGAAAAGTTCAAGTAATTTAACAACATACTTTAGCAAACATGCTTTTTTCTTTCAATACTTACTCTAACAATATACTAGAGGTTATATTCTTAGGGATTCAGAAGCTATTACCACCTGTAAGTACTGACCATTTCCATAGATATTTAGATTTTCTCCTTTTCTCCTAAGAAATTCCAGGTGCTCTTTTATTGTTTGAAATAACTAACCTTGAGTATAGCAAAAAAAAAAAAAAAATTAATAAAGACATTTGGTAGCATTATAAACCCAAAGCTCTTGTTAGGTAACATTGAGTATAGAGAAGAATATCAATTTTAGTGCATTTTTAATTAGAGTTGTGATAGTTAAATAACTAAAGTTTCTTTGTTTGCGTTAAGAGTCTTTGTCTTTGATCTTTATTACATTTTTATTAATTTTTATCAAAAGAAAGACCATATACTTCCCGGGAATTATTTTAAAATCTTTAGATTAAATCACACCTCAACAAAACCCAAAAGGTTAACAGTAACCTAGCATTATTTTGATCAAAAAGTATCTTCTGAAATTGACTGCTTTAAGATTAGTTTGCTCTCTCTGTCACTTGAAAAGTCATCAGTGGCTCTCTAATCAGTGCCACCAGAGTTTAAATATTTATTGATATATCATAGCTATGCATCTCACCACATTTTACACAAATAACCAAAATCTGCTTATGATTCCAAACTTTTGAAGTTTAACCACAAAATAAGATTTAAAGTTTTTTGTTGTAAACTTCTAAAAACTGAAAAAGATGAAGTTATATTTAAGAATCACTACTAAATCTTCCATGATATGTAAAATTAATGCAAAGGCTGTTAACTGTGGATTAGCAAACATGAACTATTAAATCACAATAGGAAACTCCAATGGGAGTGTTTACAGGCTTATTTAAGCACATTTAAAATTTATAAAAATGGTTCTATTTTGGGTTAAACTGAAGTCAGCTAATTCAATCACTGTATTCAAATTCTATTTGACCTTTGAATATAGATAATTTTTCAAAAACAGTTACTTCAGAACAGTTAAAGATGTGTTAACCTTGACAAAATGTTTTAATACTGCTATTATATTCATTATTGATCACCCACATTCACTTCCTCTATCACTTTTTCTATCTAGGGAATGATCAGAAACATACTAAGAACTGACAAAAATTAAAAAAAAAAAAAAAGGTCTAAGAAACCTTTACTTCTTGCCCTTAGTTGTTCTACTAAACTTGTTACCCTTATCTGTTTTCCAATAGCCAAATTCTTTGGTGTGCTGTTTCTAGTTTTTCTAAAACTTAAGAATTTTCTATTACTGCTAAGGCATTAATTCATTACAGACTTTCTTTTTCTTATATTGTTTAATAATCTTTGTTTTTTATAAACAGTACAACTTTTTATCCAGAGCTGTTTTTTGAAACTATCAATACTTTTACATTGAGTCACAGTATACTAATCTATATAAATCATTCTAGATATTTCTGACATACTTATTTTGCTTACTATAAGATGCTGGGTTTTATGCATCTTTTTTTTTTTTAAAGCCATAAAGTGATTTTTTTTTTTTAGATGAGGCTTCACCCTGTCTTCCAAACTGGAATGCAGAGGAGTGTTCATAACTCACAGTAGCCTTGAACTCCTGAAGTTGAACAATCCTCCCTGCCTCAGCCTCCCAAGTAGCTAGGAGCACAGGTGTATGCTACTATGCATGGTTTCTATGCATCTTTTAAAGTATCTTCTAAAATAAAAGCCTTTTATTTTGAAAAAGTCTTTTGTGTAGTCTTGTGTATTTCAACACAGATTAAAATTTGACTGAACCATACAGCTACCCAAAACTGTGCAGGGTGGCCACAAAGTTCATAAATTGCACATTAAAATTGCACACGAAATTTATGGCCACCCTGTATAATGGAGAATATTATATTTTTCATTAACAAATTTGATAAATAGCAACATTATAAGATTAAATGGCCTTTGGAATTATCATTTAAGTTGAATAAATGGGTAGGAATGGTACATGTTATCTTTGAATGTCTAACTTGTTAAATGAAATGTTACATAACTGTAAAAATTGATGTTATATATATGATGAAAACACAAAACTACCTAGGGTGACTTCAAAGCAGGAATGAAAATGTCAGGATACCCTAGACAATTCAGATGTAGAAAGGGATGTTCTCACAATTACTCCCAGGAATTCTCAGAGGCATAGCTCCTAACCAAGTGGGGTGGGGGTTTTAACTCAAAGGCTATAAACTCCCTACTTGTACTGTTAGATATTTGCTTTCATAACCTTCACGCTTTTCCTGAAATGAATCTATATATTCAACATACAAATAAAAACTGACACAGGTATTTTATCACTTATTGGATATAATCATTTCATTTTAAGAACATTAAAACAGTTTTAAAGACTAAAGGACGTTTAAAAATATATTGGGTCTATATAATTGCTTTTACTACAAAAAAGAGACACTTCCCTCCAAAAGGTTGAATAAAAATCCCTGCAAAAATGCACTGGCTCCATACTCTCTATTCATTGCAGACTACATTGTAGAAACAAAATCTCTCTTAGAGAACTAGTTTAAGAAATAATGACTATCCCTAAAGATATTTATACTCTCAATTTTTACTACTTAAGAAAAGTCAATATTAATTCTTCTTAATATAAAGATTTATCTTTGGGGAAAAAAATGAGCCTTTCAAAATTTTAACCTAGGTTAATCTAGTTGATTGGTATTAAGAACACAAGGGCCCATGCATTTGTCTATGCTTCTTTCTCTTGTAGTTTGCATCATCATTTCAGTTTGTTTTCATACTTAGTTTCAGGCCTCTGGACAGAAATGAACAATGTGAATAGGTCTGGAGATGAAGCACAGATTAGGTCCTTAACATTTCTTAAATTTACTGATCTTTCTCCCATTTAATTTATATAAGAAGCACTAAAATTGGAGCCAAGGTTTCAAAAGGTAATATTAACAGCAGAAACTATAATTTAATCACATCATATCATATAACACTATGTAACATTCTATATTTTGCCTGTTGACAAATAACATACTTAAACGTATAACAAGCACTATTTCCTAACACTTATGGTATAAGAGCTCTTTTTCAAGTATTACTGCTTATTTAATAGTGTCTATGTATTCTGTAACATTAAGTATAAATCAATGATAAATGTATATAATGCAATACATTGTGCCATTTCTTCCTACCTTGTATTAAGGTATTGTTAACAAAATCAAGAAAACTAAGACAAATATTATTAACTAAAACAAGGCTATCAACATCACAGATGCACGTCTGAGTAGGTCAACAGCATTTCCCCCATAACATGAAGGTAATTTCATCAAAGACTTCTGTATCCTTAGGTTAGCATTATTTTAGCAGCAGCTGGTCTTCAGGACAAGTAGATCAAAAGTTTCAAATGAAAAAGACACCGAGTTACTCTGAGAAAACATCAATCCACATTACTAATAAAAGCAACAAACTGCTGGTGTCATCTTAACATAAAAGTGTGCATTTTCCCTTTCAAGTGTGATTTATTTCATTCATGTGATGACAACAAAGCTTTGGAGTTCCCATGGTACATCAATGAGATGGACTAATTTGTCGAGGAACCACTTTTTGGTTTAACATTTAAATTATAACAATACAATAACTAGAAAAAGGTCAGTGCCTCAGTGGTTTCAACCCCATCAATTTCAATTTTTGTTTTTCAAAATAACAATGCAATTAAATCTGTGTTTCTGCAACAATAGTGCAATACTTTATCCCTTTCTGAATAAAGGAACTGAGGTTTATCCAAGTAGAAGCTTTAAATAAGGTAGACTGTTGCCAACTACATACCAATCCTAAATGTTTGATATAAAATATGTCAAGAAAGCTTAAACTGACTTGTAAATCTATATTCAGCTAAAGCTTCAAATAAACAGCAATGGAAATGAACAGAAGTGCACTCAATATAAAACACTCTTCAAAACTACTCCAAAAAACAAATGACAAAAAGTGGTTAAGAACAACTGAACATCTGTTGTATGTACCAGATGTAAAAGAAGAATGGACCCTATGGTTGTTTGCACTGTTTCAATTATGCAAAGATAAAATTAAGACTTATTCCACTTCCATCTCGCCAGAAGATTTAGGATGCTGTGAGTTGTCTTTTGCTGTATCTGGTTTAGTTTCAGTTCCACTCTGTCTATCCATTGGTCCATTGTGTTCACTATTAGCTTTTGCTTTGTCTTCAGCAACTTCTACTTTTGGTTTAGGTTTATAAATGATGGGGTTACAGAAATTATCCAGTTCCTAAAGACACAAAGAAATTGATTGTATTAAAAATGTTACAAATTACCATTAACTTTCTGAATTCCATATCATCTTTCTAAATTTTCACATAATTTCAGATTCCTGAATTTATGTTAGCTCAGCTAGATAACCAACTGTCTCTTCATATGCCTCATGAAAGATTTAGCTTCTGGGCTAATGCGTGTCTGTGGCAATCAGAAACTATTAATTTTTTTTTAGCAATTTTTTAAACTCTAACTTATTTCCTTATAATTTAAATGTAGTTTACTTTCACAGGAATAATTTTTAATTTTTCCTTTAAATTATGCCTACTGCTTTGTTATGAGAATTATGTAATAGCTATTTCATTAATTGAAATTTTTCAACATTTATATAATAATTTTTAATAAAATGATAAAATGTATGCACTAACTTTATTTTTTGAAAACAGCTACGTTTTAACATCTAAAAGTATTTAGTGAATGCTCAATGTTGTATCTATGCATCAATTTATTTATACTACTTTACTACTGATGAACTGGTTGCTTCCAGTTTTGCTTTGATAGGCAAAGGTATTTATCTGTTTGCACTTGTGCAATGATCAATTTAGGATGATGAATTTCTATTTTATTTTATTTTATTTATTTTTTTGAGACAGAGTCTCAAGCTGTTGCCCTAGGTAGAGTTCCATGGTGTCATAGTTCACAGCAACCTCCAACTCAGGCTTACGCGACCCTCTTGCCTCAGTTTTTCTATTTTTCGTACAGCTGGGGTCGTACTTTTGCTCAGGCTGGTCTCAAACTCATGAGCTCAAGCAATCCACCCACCTCGGTCTCTCAAAGTGCTAGGACTATAGGCATGAGCCACCGCACCCGGCCTAGGATGAATTTCTAAATTTCTGGGTTAAGGAGTATACTCGCTTTAAATTTCTATACATATTCTGACACAATGTCCCAGGAAAGTTGCAACAAATTTAACCAAATGCTCAGGAAGAGCATCCATTTCTCCACACCCTTGCCAACTATGACAATGATTGTAAATGGAAACACAACCAAATCAGATGGGTATACAAATTTTGCATTTCTTAGATTGATAAGGATGAACACCTTTTAATATACTTATTGAACATGTATTTTTTTCTTATGTCAAGTGTTTATTCAATTATCTTTACTCATTTTTTCTACTTCTATGTTTATTATAAATTTGTTCCTGTTCATAATGTTTCATAACTTTTGACATTTACATTAGCCTTGTTTTTTAAACTGAAAAGTTTATCTCAGAGTAAGATTATACCATGGAAGTCCATGCATTTCAAGCTAGAAGACAAGATGCTTACAACACTGCAATCTTATGATGAAGACTATCAAGTTTCATCCAAGAGCTAAATCTGAAATACCTGTCAGAAGTCACACTGCTTTATTTCATTCTCAATAAAAAATTTTAGTCCTTGAAACCATTAACAAGAGAATTTTTTTTTTTTTTTTGAGACAGAGCCTCAAGCTGTTGCCCTGGATAGAGTACTGTAGCATCACAGCTCACAGCAACCTCCAAATCCTGGGCTCAAGTGATTCTCCTGCTTCTGTCTCCCGTAGCTGGGACTACAGGCGCCTGCCACAATGCCTGGCTATTTTTTGGTTGCAGCAGCGATCATTGTTGTTTGGGAGGCCCGGGCTGGATTTGAACCCACTAGCTCAGGTGTATGTGGCTGGCGCCTTAATTCTCTTAGCCAACAAGAGAATTTTTTAAAGTATCTTACCTTTGATTTTGCAACTATTTCTGAAACTTTTACCACAGGATCTTGAGTGAGACTTAGTTTGTTTTGTGCATTCATCTTACTGTTGAGCCAACTCATGGCATCACTGATGTATTTTTCAACTTTTTCTACTTCGGCAGGATCCAAATGATCATATCTTTCATCCTATCAGGAAAAATGTTACTTAATATAAATGATTTTTCAGTTATTACTAGTTCATTGATAATTTCTGTTTGAAAGATTTATACTCATATTGACTGTATACCTCCCATATACTATACTCAGGTGAAGAAACCAAATACAAATATAACGAGATTGAAGAGAATGGGAGAAAAGATAAAAACTGGTGTGCATTTAAAAAGGAAAGGCTTTATGAAGAAATCAGGTTTAGAAAACAATGACTGGTAGAGACTATTCAAGGGAAAAGCGCTTAGCCAAAAACCAAACAAACAAAAGAAGCAGCAGATGGAATTTGTTATTGAATAACGAAAAAAAAAAATGAGTAGCACAAAGCAAGCTAGACAGAAAATTCTGAATATACAAGAGCATATGGTTAAATTCTTTTTATTTTTTTATTTTTTAGACATCCCACTCTGTCACCCTGGGTAGAGAACCATGGCATTATAATAGCTCACAGCAACCTCAATCTCTTGTGCTCAAAAGATCCTCTTGCCTCAGCTTCCCAAGTAGCTGGTACTACAGGGACTTGCCACAACACCTGACTAGGTTTTCTATTTTTTGTAAAGACAGGTTCTTGCTTCTGCTCAGGGTGTTCTCCAACTCCTTAGCTCAAGCATTCCACCTACCTCAGCATCCCAGAGCGCTAGGATTACAGGCATTAGCCACCAAGCCTGGCCAAGAGCATATGGTTAAGTTTTTGTTAAGGAGAATGACATAATACAATTCTGTCTGAAAAAAAGAACGGAAGCTGCCACGTAAAGGAGATGGCCTAAGGAGTCAAGTTTAGATTGGTAGTTGCAGAACCAAGAGAAAAATGCAATATAACATGTAGAAAGAGGATCTCCCAATGAATTATAGATTAAATATACAAAATAAATGCAAAGACAATGAAAGAATATTTCAAAGTCAGAGAAATGGGAAAATGGAGATGTCATTTTTAAACCCATAAAGCTTCCCTCTGGTACCAAAGCCCTCTTTTCTTCTTGTGAGACTACAAATTATCTATCTATCTTCCTTTGACTAAGTTTTTAGGTAGGCATATTTTCTTAGAATTTCTTCCTATTTCACTGATTACTTAAGTTTCCTTTGACTAGTTGATCTTCATTCATCTATCTACAGGCTTTTAAAAATCCACTAACCTGAACTGCTTCCCTGAATTTTCAACTCTATATCCACTTTCAACTTAACTGTTTGTAAAACTAAAATGCCTAGCTATGTTTCAAACTTCTAATTATGTTTTGACATACCCTTCCCAGTTTCCCCATCTCAGTAAATGGAAACCTCATCCTTCTAGGTCAAAATCCTTGGAGTTGTTTTTCACTTCTCTTTCTGATATACTTGTATCAAATCTATCAGCAAACCACACTACTCTCAAAATACATACAAAAATTTGACGACTACTTTCTCCTCCATTATCTAGGTTCAAGTTCCTATTGTTTCTTACTTTGTATTATTCTAATAATGTCTTAACAATCTCTCTACTTTCAAACTATTTATTTCTCACCCTAGGTAAAGTGCTATAGGCATCATAGCTCACAGCAACCTCATACTCTTGGGCTCATTCTATTCTCTTGCCTCCACCTACCTTGGCTTCCCAGAGTGCTAGAATTACAGGCCTGAGCTACCACACCTAGCAACTTTGAAACCGTTTAGAAAAATCAGTCAAATTATATTATTCCTATGCTCAAAAACCTTCAATAGCTTCCCAATTCAGAGTAAAACTCAAACTTTTACAGTAACAAGGCATTTTATTATATGACAACTGCTACATCTTTTCCCATAGTTTAAGCCACACTGGGCCTTCTTGCTGTTTTTCTAACATGTTCTCTCCCCTTGGTTTTTTGCAACAGCTAATCTCTTTTCCTAGAATATTTCTCTTCATGCATTTGAGACCTTACCTCCTTCATTCGTTCTTCTTCTGACATGTATGCTAGCTTATTAGTCTCTGTGTCTCTCTGACAAACTTCCTCTGCCTCTGGCAGTTCCTTACTCTTTCCATATCTTTTTATCACCACTGGACATACTTTGTAGTAACTTATTTATTATCTACCTTTCCCCACTGAAGGATATTAAAAACAGGTTTAATGTTTTGTTTGATGCTACAGTTTAAGCATCTAGAAAACAGTCTAGCACATAATAAAAATGCAAATGCTACTTGAGCATATTTGAAGTCTTGCTTTACTTTGGATAGTCTTAATCTAGCACACTCAAGATGATAGCTAAAGCCTGGAGAGCAATGGACTACCAGTAATTATACTAGATTTAAAATATTATTGGTATTTTCATTCATCTGCTTTGTTCCTTCTGATTTTTCCATTATGACTGCATTCTACTTATGTCTATAAGGACAATTTGAACACTGATTTATCAGAAGTCATTTTTACAATCAGTTATCTGGATTTTTCCTTTAGACTGGCTGGATTGCAATTTCTATTTTACACAACACACAGATCTAGTACTTATAATACCTTTTTGCACACTATGTAAAGGAAAGCAATATAGTTGCTGCGAGTTTGTATGTTGATGTGAGATTGCTTAGGTTTGAATTCTGATTCCATCATTAACTACTTGTGTCATCCTCAACTTGCTTAAGCATTTCAGTTTTCTTACAAGTAGAAAGAAGATAATAGTATTAACTTTTTATGGGATATATTCTGGTGAGAATATAGTGTGACAGTCCATGTGACGATCTTAAAATTCATTTAGTGCTTGAAAAATGTAAGTTATTGCTATGATACCCATGTCTAAATGTTTCTAGTGCTTGTCTTTCCTGCCCATTATTTCATTAATGATAAAAACTGGGGGACTACAGTGAATATTTTCTTAGATTAGGAATCAGCAAAGTTGTCTCATGGGCCAAATCCAACCAACTGACTATATTTTTTAATAAAGTTTTTTGTAACACAGCCATGTCCATTTATTTACATATTGTCTATGCATTAGCACTACAATGGGAAATTATCACTGTCATTTGCACTACAATAGCAAATAGCTGTATAGGCACAGTAAAAGCTAAAAAGCCTAATATATATGTTAGTATCTTTAGATACTAAAACCTGGTTTAGAGGAAAAAACCAATAAGCTTCATTTTGCCAGATTTTACTGTTACATCCAAATGGAGATACCATCTATGTAACTACATATTTGAGGCTTAAAGATAGTGGAAAGGTTAAGGTAATACAGATTTGAGTATGCCTCTACACAAAGAAAGGGTAAATAGGATTATGGATGACTAAAGGACTAGAAGACAAGGAAAAAAGCTAAAAGAAAAGGAAACCAAGGAAAAAAAATAATCTCGAAGAGACCCATGATTAAAAAAAAAGTCCAGGAAGACCTGTTTTTCATATAGGAAAATACAAAAAGGAAATTTCTAAGAAAACAAGGGATTTGGATCACTAGATTAATTTATAATATAGTTTCAAGATAAAAGCCACATACTTTCACTGTATTTTAAACATATCAGAATCCTGTACTGATAATTATCTAATAAAAGTGTTAGTACACGAAGTCTTTGAACTCTTGAAATTTACCCCACCCTTTCCATGTAACACACACAGACCATCATCTTCAACTGGTTTTATGAATTCAATACCTTGTTTCTATATGCTTCTATCACTTTCATAACAAGTTGGATCTTTTTCCCCAAGTCATTTAAAGCTTTTGGTCTCTCTTCATGTTCCATGTACTTCATTTGAATAGGCTGGCCATATTTCTGTTAACATAAATATTTAAAAAAGATTGAGTTTTAGCAGAAAACTTTGTCTCTTACAGGATGACAAATAGAAAGACAGCCAGATTAAAATATATCCCCCTTTTCTTTTTTTTGCAGTTTTTTGGTGGGGGCCAGGTTTGAACCCACCCCCTCCAGTATGTTGGGCCTGTGCCTTTGAGCCGCAGGTGCTGCCCTTCCCCTTTTCTTTTTTTTTTTTTTGAGACAGAGCCTCAAGCTATCGCCCTGGGTAGAGTGCTGTGGCATCACAGCAACCTCTACCTCCTGGGCTCAAGCAATTCTCCTACCTCTGCCTCCTGTAGCTGGGACTACAGGCACCTACCACAATGCCTGGCTATTTTTTGGTTGCAGCCACCATTGTTGTTTGGTGGGCCCAGGCTGGATTTGAACCCACCAACTCAGGTGTATGTGGCTGGCACCTTAGCCACTTAAGCTACAGGCACCGAGCACCCCTTTATTTTCTTACAGTGGCTATTCTTGCAATCCTATACAAGGATGCCTAACTTCTACCTTATTTCTTCCTCATTATCTAGATTACCACTTAATTATTCTCAATTCAAAATATCAATCAAAATTGTAGTTCCTTAAAAGTTGGGTTTTGGCTCGGTGCCTGTGGCTCAAGTGGCTAAGGCGCCAGCCATACACCTAAGGTGGCGGGTTTGAATCCAGCCCGGGCCTGCCAAAACAACTATGACGGCTGCAACCAAAAAATAGCCGGGCATTGTGG